TAAACCTCTAAACCCTAAACTCCTTCCCCTAAAGTCAATTTGAGACAGTTCCGGCATCCTGGAAACCAAGAGCTCGACACTCCGAAGAACTTGTTGTCAAAGAGGTCCACACCTGACGAAGATGAAGGCGTGTGGTTCTATAGTTTCAAGGGATGATATAGGATGCAAGTTTCTAATATTTGTAGGGGGAAGTCTAGGAATGGCTCTGTAGTGATGTCCAAGGGATTGTTTAGGACGCATGGTGTTAGTACAGAGTCCTCTGAACGTTCCACTGACAAAAAAACCCAATCCGACCCGGATCCGACACGAATTACCATGCACCTTTGAAGGGCTCTCTGTTTGTCATGTAGGAGGGTCTGGCTAGATGGGGAGATTCTGGGGGGCACACGTTCTCAAGCTAGGCTGACACATCCATGAATGCGTCATTCTCAGGATTTTTTGGGCTCGTTGGGAACATGGAGAACAATGCTCAACTTGCAAATCGCCTTTCAGACCAGTCGCAAATAAAGAGGAACCCTTATAGCTCATGGGGCTTGCTCATATATGCAGGGGTCAGAATCGTTGTAGAATAATCAGGCCGAACAGCTTGCGAAAATTTGAGCTAAGGTCTCCATGCTGAACGCTGCGCTGCTCTTATCTGTGACCAGAAAAAGCTTCCTTCAAGACTATAACCAGTCTCTTACTCGATAGTGTTTTTCCAGAATAGGGGCTCCTATATAAATTTCCATGTAACTTGATCTCAGTCATGAGGACTCCGGCAAAGGTTCTGTGCATGTGTGGAAACCACTCGATGACCCAAGGAGCCTGACCAAGGACTCCCTTCCGCGATGGGGGATATAGGTACCCATCGGGGTAGTACTAGGGGTTATATTAGGGGGTATATAGGGATGATGGAAAAGAAAATGGAGACTACTATTTAAAGTTTAGGGCTTAGGGATTCACAGGTTTAGGATTGAGCACGCCCTGCCTTCGATGAATTGTCCGTGCTTGATGCTGGTCCTTGGTCTGTGGGAAGGAACCAATTCTAGTGCATTCTTCCGCGGAGGTCCTTAAGCCAAATCACACGGCCAGGCAACAGGAAAGGTTCCCACAAACAGCAAAATTGAAATAATCCTTCAATAGATCTACAAAACTTTTTGTAACTGCTCCATCCCTCGGATGAAGGCAGTGGTGCCTAAATGAATCATCACAAGCCCCCTCGGTGATGCACAACAGGCCCACGGCTGAAGCTTGGCTTTCCTCACCCAGGTTTGGGTTGCCTAGATTTTAAGAAGACATGTTCTCCTTGCCTGGATGTCCATGGTGGCCCAAGAATGACAAGCACCAAACAAAAGGCCGCATATACCCAGCTAAACTTCTATTCCACAAGTCTTTCACCTGCAGGCAGCCATACATGAAGCCTCATATCCAACGTAATCTCTGAACCCTTACTTGGAGGTTTGTGACTTGGGGGCTGCATAACAGTAGATATGGGTCTACTTATAATTGGGGTAGCCAGGTAGCCTGTACAAGGCCAGTTAGAAGCAGTTGCTGAGTCTCATTAACCTCCCAGTGCCTCCTACAGTCCGACAGCTCGGAATTCTAGATTCAGACCATGAATGCCACTCACACCACCCCAACTTGAATTCACTTTCTACCTCTCACGCTGAGGCCACGGCTTGGTGATGTACCAGGGTCGGAAGCAGTTGGACTGCGGCAGGGCTCTGCTACCGAGAATCGCGTAGGATCCACCGAACAGGGGCTCTCCATCAATTGGGTGAAAATTGTGGGCTACTGAGGAAATTCTGTCTCCGGATCCTTTGCAGGTTCTGGTCTTCGGGTTGAGTGAGATGTAGGGGTGCTCTTCGGGCCATGAGTTCTTGAATCTTCGCACGCCTCAGAAAACACTAGCCAAGTATTTGGGGGTTTGTTGGGGACTGTACCCTATATAGTGTACTTCTTACATGATCCTGTATCTAACAGGTTCCATTTGATTTTACAGGTTTTTCTCCATTTGATCTTCCAGGATTCTATGACCGAATTCTACTCCCCAGTCTTCCTGAGGAAGCGCAATTTGTACCCACCAAAAACATCAATAATGAGCCTATCTGGCATGGGGCAGGTGTCCCCCAATTTGGAAAATGGGGGTTTCCAAAATCAAGGGCCCCTTTTTTGGGGTCCAGATTTCGGTCCCCTCTGGGGAACTACCGGATTTTGAGGTTTCCCTCGGGATTGGAGGTTGGGAATAGGTTATTCCTTCTTAAGGTGAACATCCCTGCCCCCTGGCGTTTGCGCCCTGGATGTCTGAACGATGACAATTTCGCATCAGGAAGCATTGGGCTGCACAATGCTAGGGCGAAATTCGAACTGAAATGTAAGATCCCCTAAGCTCTGCACTCAACTTGTCAACCCCCAAGCTCTAAGCCGAACATGGGCAGAATTTCGAAACCATGCCGCAGTCCACTCCTGACAAGTTGGCAGTAGCGTGTTGCCGTGCACCGCCTCAAAGAAATGTAGAACCCGAAGCGGTGGCCCTTGTAGACGACTGTCCTTTGGAAGTATAATTGAATATCGCAAGTGAAATGCGTCCAACTTTGACCCTGCAATAACGGTTACACCTTGGGTTCAGGGAGGATTAGGTTTTTCTATGCCAAAACATCCGAACTGAGGCTCCGGACCAGCCTGAAAGAACCAAGCACCCAGATGTCTGCCTACACAGACTCCCTCGAGGAACAGACATGAACCCAAAACGGTCTCATGCACTATACTCCTTATGATGGGGACCCTAAGGAGGGAGTCTCAAATTTCGGAGACTCTCAAAATCAGTTGCTTCCTCTACAAGGACCCCAAGACAATCCATTGCTGCAAGAATTCCCCGTAAACCCTAAACCCCGAACCCCAAAGCTTCCGTGCCTGCATCCAACAGTTGGGATCCTCGTCATAATAGACATCGTGATCCCAACGCATGTAGGGTACGTCAGTCACAAAGTCTGCACCTGGAGCTCTGCTTCCGGGGGCCCAGGGAACACCAAAGAGTACTTCCAAACTGGATAGGTTTTTACGAAACACCGAGGCAAAACCTCGTACGAGATCTGCGAGCATCATGAGGTCGGTTCGTGATTTTCTCCTTGAAGTTACAGTTCCCACCATGAACATGGGAGTTGCTTGAAATCACCCCTATGTCAGCCTTGGAGGAACTCCTCTCATCATCTGCCAAGGGTAAACATATTTCAGCTGAAACAATGAGCAGCTCCAAGCAATCTCTGGACAGAACACGCCACTTGCAAGGGTCAACAGCATGTTCAGCACGAGACTTTCATCTAATCTATACCAGTACTGGCAAGGAATCCTGGAATATTTCTTGGCTTCACCCTGAAAGTTTTGTTAACAAAAGGTGGTCCTGGATGGACCAAGCAAAGCTGCAATGATGGGGGAGCTGATGAAGATATGAGCACTTTAAGGGACCCAACGGATACATGTGGATAGCAAGAAATTATGGGTGTCAATTGAGAAGCTCCCAAATTGAAGCCAAAATCCTACATCTTAGCTTCAACAGCAAGGTGATAAGCAATCTCCTCCCCTCATACCACAACCCGCAGCTCCTTAACGACAAACATTCCCATGACAGTGCCATCATATACTAGCGGAATATTCGGGGTTTCCATGCATAGGGGGTCCCCAATATGGACTCTAATGAAGCAAAATCATGAATGTAACTATGCCCAACACCAGGCGCAACCCCTCCCCAATTTTATGCAAGCCCCAATCTAGAATTTTGCAGTGGAGAGGATTGCAAGGCAACAACAACTTTAGAAACCCCCTATACCCTCCACCCTATACCTACTAAGTCTCTCTGACCCCAAAACCTCACTCCCCAACCCCAGCCTAAACCCTAAACCCTAGGGATAAACCCTATTATAAACCCTGTACCCCAGACCCGAATGCTCGGGCCTTGGTTCATCACCTCCCACCTGAGAACAATGCAACAGTGGAGCCAATATGAAGGTGCTAGGTTCCTTGTATAGGGTTTAGGGTTTAGGGGAAGTATAGTATGGGGTTTAGGGTTTAGGGTAAGTATAGTATAGGGGAATTCAGATGAAGGGTTGTCAGAAAAATTAGGTATAGGAAGGCCCCTTACATTCACGATATCCAGAACGGGACCATAGTTTCGATGGGTATATTATCCAGATAAAAGGCGTCCCCGTTGCATGTATCCCCCAACTACAATCATCTTTATTTTCAAGGAAACCCAAAACAGGAACCCCAAGTTTTAGAATTCTCCAGATACAAAAAGGAAGTGATAAACATCACAATTCCCGTTCTGTCAGCCCCTTCAAGGCTTAAACTGCATGGATACTGGCTCTTTGTGAAGGTCTTTGTTGGAAAGGCTCTTGCCAGCTGGTTCTAGGGTGGCCACGCCATTGTCCTGGCTACATGAAAAACTCCAAAGCCTGACATGAAGAATTAAGGGACTCTTTTACGTTGGAAGGTGGGGTCAAGTCGGCATGTCTGCCCTGAACTTTAAGTTACATCTTATGAGCTTAGAGGTGCCAGGTTATGCAACATGTGTGCAGGAGGCATTTGAATGCTACAATTTGCAATTGCATCTAGTGGCACAACATGCCATGCAGGACTAGAATTGCAGAGCTTAGATGGCACCTCCGGTTTCATGTTGGGGGGCTAGCAAGCTTAGGACTACAACGGTGCGTAGTGACATGAGCGCAAACTCTTGAGGGACTTTGTGTGCTAATAGTCCCGAGGATTGCAGTTGCAAAAGGCGGTCCTTGGGTGGAGGCATGGCCTAAAGCTTATTTTCTGGTTCAAACCTCCCCTCCGAAAGTCCTGTGCCCAAACTCCATGCATAGCAAAGAACTGATGTCTGCCTTAAGTTGGTGAACATCTGATCGCGATACTGTTCTGAAGCCCTGGCAGAATCGCCAAAGTAGCCAAGCAAAATGCAGATAAAACTTCTAAACCTGTGTTCTAAGAAGCTGACAGAACCCGGTTGGAGTTCGTGGTTGGCATATGTCCGGCCTCACGGCACGAAGGCTATGCAGGAGCATTCAATGTTCGTGGGGTAGGATTTAGTTATCGCGCCTAGGAATTTGCTCTGGGCCATATGCATTTTCCTAACCCGAAGCCGGCTGCACAATCCCACTGACAACAATGAACCTTGTGCCACGGTTCTCGGTGAAGTGCTACTGTAATGTAAAATCACAGGCATCAGAGTAGGATCCATCAAACTTCAGTTAATGGCAACAGGAAGGAATACGAACAGGTAGGCTCAGATTACAGCGTGGTGCTCGAATTCCTAAATGCTTCGGGCAGATTGTTGCAATACACCTTGCCAGCTAAACAAGCTCTGTTGTCTGGAAGATTCTAGTGTAGAATCATGACTCCCCAATACGAGGCAAAGTCCCGAATGCCCGATATGTTCTACATTCAGCAAAATCTATGGTAGGCCAGGCATGCCCCGTAGTCTTGCCCGTCAGTCACGTGCTGGGTTACTAACCTTGCCTCATTGTCGTCATGTTATGACCCTCGCTGCGACGAGTCGCGTGACTATTATCACTGCTTCGGTCATCATGATCACTTTTACTTTCTTGCTTCCTTGGGACGAAGTGCTGGAGTAGGTTTCCGTAAATTGCACCTAGAAGAGCCTAGCCTTTAAAATGAAGACCTCCTGAGAAGTTTCCTGATCTGAAAAACGACTCTGAACCCCAAAATGCTGAGCTCTACATAACCTTACCTCGTAAATCCTTCTAATGCGCGACTTCGGAAGCCACGGCAAAGCCTGAACACTAAGCCTCAATCCAAACCCATATTCTACACCCAAACCCAAAACCCTTAACTCAAACCGTAAAGCCTAAACCCTAAATCCTAAACCCTTAACTCAAAATCCTGAAGCCTAAGCCCTAAATCCTAAACCCTTAACTCAAACCCTAAAAAGCCTTCACCCTGAACCGAGCTGGGGGACCACGCCTCACCCCGGACAGCTACAGGGTTATGGTTATTTCGGAAGAAGGAGTGGCGCATCATCAGCTGCCTGAGAATGAGGATCGGTGGTTTACATTTGTTGTCCTCTTCCATTTTTTGATTTTTGTTTAAGGCTTTGTAGCATGGGAGTCGAGTTGAGTTTGGGGCTTTCAAAAGGCTTTAGGATGTGAGGTTTGAAGGGCTCTCGGGTTGTGCTATCAGCGGGCTTCGAAATGGTTCACCTTTAGGATAAACTTTATGCAAATCCACAAGTCATTGCAATTGGGTTGGGGGCTTTTTTTAGCCCGCAGGTGTTAAAACGTACCCTGCATTGCAAATTGCACGGGAAGTACAGGCATACCAGGCTCAACTCAAGCTTGGGACAATAAGCTTAAGGGGGTACACGGGTAGTAGAAGTTAAGATTGGCAAGGGGGTCCACTGTCTTCGATCGAGTATGGCAGTTGAGTCTACCAGCCCATGGACTTGTGTAAGGAATGATGTGCACTAAGTGGAAGTAGATCAATTGCGACGAGATAAATCAAGGTGTAGCGTGCTTCACAGGCTATTGGACCTCTTGCTTGCTACGGATTTCGATGCTTGCTACGGATTTCGAAGCTCGATCTTGGCTCCAGCTTTCATTAGGGCCTTTAGCAAGATGTAAGAATTAGTCGATGGAGGCCTTGTGGCCAACAGACCAACAACACTTCGAGAAACCCCCACATGTTTTTAACATATACCCTATTATATACCCTACTATAGCAGTTTCCATTTTCTTTTCCATTATGCCTATCGCAAGCATGGTTTCCAGATGGAAAGGCTGCTTGGCAGGCTCCAACCAAACAACCCTCCAACATACAAGAATAATGCTTCTGACATTCCACCCTGAGGGGCTCTACATAAGTGTATATTGAATGCCTAGTTTTAGAGCGGTATCTTTGGAGCATCCCCAAATCGAGCCGAGGAGTGTATCTGAGGCCGGGGCCACTCTCTGGGCACTTCTGTTTGAAACTTCTCGGTATCTTCCATCTCTACCAAGTCCTGTGTATGGAAGCATAGGCAGGCTGGCCTAGGAATCAATTGCAATTTCAGAACCTCGACTTCAACAGTCTATCCCAAACAGCTTTGGGGTGAAGACGTCCGATAGTTCAGGGCTTGGGTTCCTCATCAAACCCTAGGGTAGATCCAGCCAGCACTACCTAGACAGCCAGGGCTTATATTCAAATCCCATCCAGGATCCCCAAAAACAAGTCTGCGCCCAAGTTGCAACGGCATACGACTGATGGGGGGGGGCTCTGTCGTTCATATCACTTGGTGGGCAGGGGCACCTCTGAGTGCCTGATCGCTGACCACACAACAATCACTGCCCCGGAGCATTTCCTGCCTAAGTATTGATTTTAGGCATCATGCAAGGGAACGATCGTTACATTAAATATTGTTCACCATGAAACTTGCCGAGTGCAAATCTCCCAACTTACGAACAAGCTGTCTTTGATTCCTGTTCCATTCGGTCACCTAACCAATGAAACTCAGGCCGAACGAAACTCCGTAGCTCCTTAATTCGCTCTTGCGACCACTCGATGAGCTCGCGTGCCGTGGGGATAGCCACGCCAAGGGTCCTCCATTTGGCGGCTTCATGGAAAAAACAAAAGCACGTCTGAACCTTAGACATGGGTGGTGGCATGTTGGATTGATTTTTCTGACTCCGGTTTGGCTTCCGAACCCAAATCCTGTCTGCAAGCCTTTTTCTTGGGACAAATAGCATGCGACTAATAAAAATAAATCAAGAGAACCAAAAGGGGTCTCTCGTACTAGCCCGAACCCAACAATCCCCATCCCAAGTTAATTCCAAATCAAATATTAACCCAAAAAGAAGAGATTTCATGGAACATTCATGTGCGGACTGGGGGGCACCAGGTGACTCCCGAGCGTTAGACCCTGAACCCACAACCTGAATGCTAACACCTAAACCCACGCTACACCCCAACACCTGAATCCCTAACCCCTGAACCCTAAACCCCAACCACAACCTGAACCCCTCATTCCTCAAGCTATACCAGGGCAGGCCGTCCTGCTAAGCCCTCCGGTCCATCCCCTCGTCGTGGAATGCTCCGCGGCGAGGATCCAGCTGATGATGGAAAACTCCCCTGAGCAGTGATTTTGGGGTGGTAGAACCTAGTAAGGGCAAAGTCCCGAAATCCTAAACCCTTAAAAATACCATACCCAAAAGAGGATATGTTCTGGCTCCATATTGGGGACTTTGGGATCCCCATAAAATGCTATGCCCCTGAGCCCACGAATGCTTCAGGGTTCTACCCTTCAGGTTGTGGCCCTGCATTTAAGGATCCTCTTGAAGAATTCCTGGGGGAAATTGGGCCCAAGCGGGGTTATAGTCAGCCCTTGATATGGGAAAGGGCCCAAGCAACGAAAATCCCTGAATAATGATCTCAGCGTCCTCGTGCTAAAGCTCACGAACGATTGCTTGGACCCTTCTCTATGGATGTCCTGTGGGACCCAAAATTTTCCTCAGTATATAACCTATATATATACATCCATTTACGCATGTCGCTGTTGTATGAGTAGTACCGTCCCTGCCCAAATGCTCCCTGTTCAACCCCAAGGTCAAAAAACTCCCTTGACACTCCCTGGGAAGTGGCAGGCTTTTCTGTCAGAAATCTCAGGAGTTCCTGGGTGCACTTGCCCACTTGAAAGTCTCGAAACCATGCCAAATGCATGCCTTAGGTCTCTACTCTGAGGTTCATAGGACTTAGTAACTGCCTAGAACTGGGTTTATAACCCCCATTTGGGATGCCCCTCACTGGAGTGTAACCTTATAGCTCCCTTAGAATCCTCCCTCACGGCATGTCAGTGGTCTCCAGTGCCTTAAGCATTCTGCAATGAGGCTGCATCCTTTGAGAAACTAGAGAAACACCCTAAGATAAAGGGTTTCGAAACAATTCAACTCCGCTTCTGGAGGGTCTTCGAGCAAGGGTTAGCAACTGGGGTATACAAAGGGGATCTTCCTTTTCTGATGGACTTCCCAGATCTTGTCATCTCTTTAGCACGGCAGGCCTCTACTAGACTGATGCCTATGATGCATCTGATCCGCTCGAAGGATCACCTGGGCGTGTCGATAGGTGCAGGCTCCCACTCTAGGTTCCCCAATAACCCCATAATAAAACCAACTGTATGTAGGGTAACTGTAGTTATGGGGCTTATAATTAGACTATAACTACAGTTACTAAGTAGGTTATAAATACACAGGCTAGGTTCCCCAGTAACCCATTAATAATAAGGGTACCCTTGTTCCTACTGTTCAGCTTCAATGAGGAGACCCAAAATAAAAAGGGCCAAAGGGTACTGGGGTACCTAGCACTGGGGCATTGTTGGATAAGATCAGCCACGGGTTTGGTATGGCACCAGTCAGGAGCTTCAATGGTAGTTCAATTGGTGTTCAGGTGCTTATCCAAGACTTGTGCTGTTTTGCGGCACAATGACACTGTCAATGTCCCCCCCGCAATACAACCCATAAGCTACTCCAATTTTGGAACAATACTCTCTTCATCATAACAACCCCAAGTGCCCCGAAATGACCGCTGCATATCCCCTATAACCCCCATATATACCCTACATCATTCCTGTATATCCCTACATAATGAACAGCAAAAGGCTTACTATCCCGGCCGCTTGCATCAAAATTGATACTCTTCCCAAATTAGCATGGATGCCCCAAATGGCCTGTACAAAAACTACTGCCCTTTCAAAGCAGGCTTGCATATGTTTCTATGTTCGTCTGGCACGCTCTGGTACCGTATATGGGGCTTCCCAAAATTAGAGGTACCTTTTGGCGGTCCCCATCTTAAAGATCGTGTCATTTTGGGGTCTATATAGGGGAACACGGTGGGTGATCCGTGGGCGAACCAAAAACGACATACCTAGAGCTACACTAGTTGCCTCCCTCTACATACCGAAAGCCCCCCTTGTGAGACCTTCTAAGAAGCAGACGGGCTACCACGATGGATGCAGAGTGCCCAAAACTACTCATCAAAGAGGTCTCGACAAACCCCGTGAGTGAGTTCAATGTCGATATTCATTTAGAACCTCTGCATTTTCGACTTTAGTGTACGCCAGCCGAGATCAGAAGCCACGCAGTTTGAATGGGGACAATATGCTTGCAAAATCATATGCCGGAGCTGTAGCAAAGAAGACACCACCTTGGGTGCCTCTACTACACCACTCTCCTTGCAGATCGTCTTTGATCCATGTGAACCTCGAGGCCAGCCTCAGTGCAAGCAATTCCGCTGCAAACGCAGGGAGGCAGCGCAACAGGCATGATGTCCTCAATGGGGAACCACTGTAGCAAGACTGTCACCACAAAGGTCCGCTTGTCATCTGCAAAATACGGGATGATCACCAGCCGCACCCCTGCTGCTTTGCACAGCTCCCGCTTTCTGGTATCTCGCTCCTGCTGGGCCTCGAAGCTGGAGATGTCTCCGAAGTGGAAATAGCTGTCCGAGTCATAGTGCTGCTCGCCCTGGTATTCGAATGCCAACGACAGCTTGGCGCAGTACCCGTCCAGCTGCAAACCCTCCAAAAATTTTGGATTGCAGGGCCCAAACTTGGAAGGGCAGAAGATGGTCTCGAAGATGTCGCGGATCTCCGCCTCTGTCCTCCAAATGCTGGTTGCACAAGTTGGGCACCAGGTCTTGCCAACTATCACTTCTGAGCCATCGCCTTCCATCGGTGTCCCTCCCGGCACTCCCAGAGGAGGTTGGTAGATCTGTTCTTGTACGACTTCGCCAGGCACCTCCCACCAAGCGAGGCGGCGTGGGCCTGGAGGCGTCGAAGCCCAATTTTCCTGCAGTGCGGGCACCACGAACCCATGTTCATCACACTGTGGGCTGTTGCCTGCCAAGCGTGTCCATGCTTGCACTTCCACGCCACCTTGCTGCAATTGTTCACGTACTCAGTCGCCAGGCACTCCCCGCCTCGCTGCGCCGCATGGTCCCTCAGCCGCTCCAAGCCGATGGGAGCACGCTGCGCGCACACAGGACACCAACTGTTCTGGTAAAGCACTGCAGTAGGAGTTGCAGGCCACCTGTGGCCCTTGGTGCACTCCCACTGCACCTTCATTCTCACACCGCAGTACTTAGTGGCCAAGCAGCGGCCTCCGCGGGAAGCTGCATGCTCCTGCAAGTCCTGCAAGCTTCGCCTGATGAACACTTTCTGCTTTCGTGCGCATTCAGGGCACCAGGTGCGTTTGTTCAGAACGCTGTAGGCAGCCGCTTCCCAGGTGTGTCCCAGCTTGCACTGCCAGCGATACTTGGCCTGGCTGTTAGTGTACTTGGTGGACAGGAGCCTGCCGCCTCGCTGCCTCGCGTGGTCCCGCAATCGCTCCAGAGAGCCCATTCGCCTTTCAACAGCGCACTGCGGGCACCAGGTCTTTCCGTACAACACATTGATCGGAGCGGCATGCCATCGGTGGCCATGCTCGCACTCCCACTGGACCTTCGTCTTGCTGTTCAAATAACAGTCTGCCAGACACAACCCGCCCTTGCTTGCGGCATGATCCTGGAGGCGCCTTAGAAGCTGGTCTTTGGTCATGGGCCGCCTGCTCGAACTCGGCATAGTCGAGAGTGTTTTGCCCGGCTTTGCTGCTGCCAAACCCTCACGAAAACAGGCGCGGCCCGCGCAGCAGCTCCGCTTCCCAGCCCGCCGGCCTGCCACTTTATATGAAGCCAACCCAAGGCAAAAGCAAGCCTGGCTGACCCACTTCTGATACAAGCCAGCTGTTCCAGGTTTCGTCCTTCCGGCTCCAGTGCCTGCTGTAAGACCCACAGGCGCCCCTTCGGGCAGCCAAGCAGGCAGAACCCCATGCAACTGCATCTTGGGAAGGCAAGGGACACCAAAGCCCTGGGCCGCGAAAACTCCCGTACGGCATCTGAAATCTTGCGTTTACGCACATGTCCAAAATTGTTTCTGTCCTTTTTGGGAGTCCCCGCCACAGGGGATTATACATATAATATCATTCTATTTTTTGGGCCCGCGATTTATGGAACCCCCCCCCACTATAACTCCCTTCCGGAATGAGAATGTCCTTCATACGTAGATGGATTTCAGTGGATCTGGGATGATATTGTGGTGGCGCAGCTCTTCAAATTCTCTGATTCATTTTTTACTTTATAATGACAAGCGGAGCTCCTCGCAAGCAACTCAGTGCCTCACTGTCCAATGGCATGCTGGAATCTAACTCTCGAGCTACCATATGCAGCACCAGCCCTGGATTTCAGCCACCAGAATTCTCAGCCTTGACCCGGAACTTCTGCATTGATCTTTTTTGCTCGATTTTCACATCACCACCTAACACTAAATATTCCTCAAAAGAGACTTCGTATGGTGGTTGTTAGAGTGGGATATTAGGGTTTAGGATCCACTCCTAACAAATGCTGCCCGGAAGTTCGCCTCCAGTTCACGTCTGCTCAGCTTGTATACTTCCTCCATCCTATGACAATTCCCAATATGGTGCTTGCAGTGGTCTCTTCTTCCAGTTGTAGTGAAAGTCTTGTACATAACTAGGTGTATTCTTTGCCAAAGTAACTTAAACACCCATCGCAAACCAAGGCCCCTACCAGCATGTCTGGCTCGGTCCTGGGTTCCCAAGGCCGCAAGACAGGGCCCATGAGGGTTGCTTTGTTGTGCGTGGAAAGCCAAGAGATAAAGTTGATTCCACTTGCTCCACTTGTGTTCCCAAAACCCTAAGCACCCGCTGAAGGATCCCCAATGTACATAAGCCATCCTCTCCCTTCTCTGCTTTCTAGCTTATTGGCTTGGTTGGTTTGGTGCTTTTCTATTTTTTTGATCGACTCTGGAGCATGGAAATACAAACTCGGCTTTAACAGACGACGATTGTCAACATGGGGTCAGCTTGCACCTGGAACGCGGCCCACACTCCTGAAACAACCATGCCCCCTAAGAACAACTATCCCCATATAGCCTAGCTGGAGAACCCCAAAATTAGGGGGTGTATAGGGTCTATATAGGGGAAATGGAAACTACTGTTGGGGTTTAGGGTTTCCCAAAATAAGGGGTACCATTTTTGGGCCCCCTATAGTAAGGACTATAGTATATTGGGATCCATGTTTTCCGCTTCAATCGAAGGGAGGTAGGGGATTCATCACGAACCCAAAGCTTTCACTCTCAACCGTTTTGCCCGCGTAAGGAAGGAATGTCCATTGATGGAGGCATTTGTTGGCAAGCGGATACCCTGCATGCCGGACTGTTTAGAGGACCCAAACAATGGAGCCTCCCATTTCTTCCTCACGTCCCTGATTTAGTAATGGACTTGTTCTGACAGGATTATTGTTGCTTCTTGGTGTTTTTGAACTTCAAGGGGTTTGGGTAGTTCCTGAGTAAACTGCTTCTCACGACCTCCCTAACAATCTGTATAATCGAGATATTGCCTCTATCACCTCTTATGTGCTCGAAATTCCATATACACATTTATAAAACCTAGAACATCCATACCACCCCTTGAACCTCCAAAAGTCCCATGTCACCGTCCTGGGTTGGTACCCCCCAGGCTTCTCTTCAATTCCTTTTTTAGCCCTGTAGAGCCCCGTGAAAAGGAACTCAACAAGTCCCACCCCTAAACCGTAAACCCCAACCCTAAGCCCTATACCCCAAACCCCAAGACCTAAACCGCAAACTCCCTGAACCTTAAACCCCAAACTCAAAAAGTCCCTGGGCCGCCCGGCGAGAACTCCACCGCTGCGGAGTCCTCGTCGAAGGGCGTCAGCTCAAGCTGACCTCGGCCTGCGAAGGCTTGACCAGGGGTTTAGGGTTTTACGGTCTTAGGGTTTAGGGGTTTAGGGTTTTAGGGGTTTCAGCGTTTGAGGTTTGGGGTTAGGGGTTTAGGGTTTAGGGGCTTCGGGCTTTTAGGGTTTTAGGGGTTTAGTGTTTTAGGGGTTTCGGGCTTCAGGATTTTAGGATGTAGAGTATGGGGAGTTGAGGTCTTTTTAATGTAGGATTGTATTGCCCCGGAACAGCCTATAATATCGGTAATCTTTGAGGTTTTATGTGACTATAGGGTTGAAACGGGATTACAGTGGTTAGGGATATCTCTAGTTCCATCCGTATGCTTGTGCTATTGTCGCCTGCATGCGCTTGAGGACTTTGAGGGTAGTTCCCATGACTTGTAGGTTTTGGGTTTGGAGTTGTTGAAGGCTTCAGATTAGGGTTTTGCGATTGGGAGTTTGAGGGTCTGCGGTGTAAGATTTAAGGTTTGGTTCCTCGGGAGGTGTGGGGTTTCAGGTTCAGGGTTGAGGATTGGGAACTTGAGGGTCCAGGGTCTCGGATACAGGTTTTTGAGGTTTGGTGTTCAGTGTTTGGGGCTTATTGTTTGTGGTTCGGCTTTCAGGGAGACGGGGCCTGCCGGCTAGGAATATGCCCTTCCATGTAAAACGAATTACGGGGTTGTGGGTTCTATGTGAGACAAGAAATTCAGGGCCTGTTTCCGGCAGTGGGGAAAGAACCACCTGAGCGTAAAACACATTCTTGAACTTTTCCCTGGGGTTCATGGCGCATATCTGCGTATGCCTATGTATACCTGCATTTTCTTTCACATGCTTTCTGTCTGCAGGGCTTTTGGAGGTAGTCGACCTGAAACCTTTGATTGCGAAAGATCAACTAATCGTGCACTTTCAAAAGGCCCCTGAAAGTACAAACAAGCTTTCACAAGGCCAACAAGAATACAAAAATGCGAGCCCATTCCGAGCACAGCAATATTCAAGTCGCCATGCTCTGTCCCTTTACGCCCATAGCAAATTGCCAGCATCCACCCCAAATGCTGGTGCAACTTCGCGCGTGCCTTCGCCGAAGAAGTAAACTAACCTCATGAGGTGGGGACTGTCGTTTGGGGAGTTCCGGTTTCTGCGGAGGGATCTATTGCTCGAATCTTTGACCACTAGTAGTCTTGGGGGATCATGCGTTTCACTGACCATACCATTGAGGCAACGGAACAGCGCCGGGACCCACGATGAGAAGCCGTAACTGAAGTTCATGAAGTGATGTAATTGCCCCAGCCCCCAAACTCAAGGACCCGAGGACTGTCATACAACCTTTAGAGGGTCTTTATTCTCGGGGTTGTGGAAGTCTTGTTCACAACTCTGAGCAATCAAGTAGGGAATATCCAAAGTATAACCAGGTAATATCGGATAGTCTCTTGCAAGTATTTTTTGCAAATACCACTAGTTCTGACACGATACCTACCTGCTCTGCAATACCAGGCAAACTTTTCTTTAGAAGCCTTTCCTATGGACCCAGACCCAAAACCTACATCCTAAAGCCCCCCTCACCCCAAAACTTGAACACCCTCAGCCCCCTTGCATTCATGGCGGCGTTGCAATTCAGGGCGTTTTTGGGCAGTACAATTTATCCTCCCCTATCACTTCGCAATGATGAGCATCCCCCCAACATATCGTGGTACCATATCAGGGAAGTAAAATTTGCACGGCTGAGGGGGTTTAGCATTGGGGGTTCCCGACTACCCGAAACACGCTTTGTTCACCAGTAGAGTCTAGGTGGCACTTCGGACCCCTACTAAAGGTTAATTAACCCTTTGGTACCTGTAATAGGAGTATAAGGGAATCCCAAAGGGCTAAGGGCCTAAGGTCCCAGTTAAGTCCCAAGGAGGAATGATGAGGTTGATCTTGCAAACTTTCATGCGTTGGATGCCTTGGAGGGCAACGGCGGCAACCAAGTGGACTCCCATATACCCCAAATACTATGCGGTATTCTCCTCAAATTGGGTACCCCAGATTTTGGGAAAGCTCCATGTGTCACCCTTTCGAACTTATAGTCTCCCGAAAAAGCACTCCTAATTTCTTCCGAAGCCCACGGTTTCCCAGACACCTTGCAGGACCCCAAAAAAGGAAGCTCCCTATAGTCCCCAAAGTTCTCCAATGGATCATTTTTTGGAGGGTTCCATCTTTTGGATCCTTTAGGGGTCCTAACCCTAAATCCCTAAACCAAAGCTCTAAAGCCTAAATCCCTTTCTGCAGAAACGCGACATTAGCCGGGCTCTATTCAGGAGCGACAGCCAGGAAGTGCAGGTCTCCTCGCAAACCAGTTGACAAGCTTCAGAGTCATTCGAGAACTTCGAAGAATAGGGTGCCCTTAGGGACTCAAGGCATATAGAGGGGTTCCATTTGAGATTATTGTGGTCCGTATTGTTCGGGATGCGGTAGGACATTTTGAAGACTGAAATTTGAAGGGGTTGGGGTCCACATTAAGGAAACCCGGTAATAAGGACGATGCCATTTGGGCTAGAACATGGGGACCCCTGTTTTGGAAACACCCGGGCAAAGACGACTTGCAACTCAAGGAGTCCTGGTATTTGAAGGGGAGAGGGTTTATCAGGCACTAGACGTGGTGTTGTGCGTACTTGACCGGTGGGGGCATAAGGTTACTGACTTGTACATACCAGCCCTGAAGCCAAACCTCCAAGGACGTCTGGGGGAACCTTCAAGGCTCAGGAGCCCCCGAATAAAACAGCACACGTTGCTCGCAGGGAACTCGCCAAGGCAAAGGGCAAGGTAAACTTTCCCTAACACCCTGATGTTAAAGTGAAC